TTTGTAATGATATCAACCCACATTAGCTCATATATGGGGTATTATAATTTCTCAAGATTCACACATTTTTGTTCATAGATCAATCTATTATCCCATTTCACAAATATTGAGCTAAAATGCCACCTTTTTTATTTACCAAAGTTGGACATTTGTCCATTCACAAACTTGGAATATATAATCCCAATTGTTTTAACCATGATACCATGAACATCAATTAAGCTCTTAGGGGATCTCAATTTTGACACTATTGTACCTCTTTGTACCATAAGAATGTCTCATGAATATACCCCATAACACACAAGCATTTCATGGTTCTTGCATTTTTTTTAAAATATCATTCATTTCTCAATTTCATATTGCACCATTATACCTTTAATGTATAATAGGAGTGCACCAAATAGGTAAGCCTTTGAGAAATGAGAAACATGTATGAGTTCATAGAATTCTTGCATCTCTATGCCAACCACATTTGTATTCCTTCCTCTGCTATTGCTTACATAAACATGTAAGTAATCAAATAACTTGCCAAGTAGAAAATAGTTTCATCTAATAATTATACAAATTAATAATCTCCACCAAAATAAGAAGAGAAAAATATTTCTAGTATCCATTTCTTAACACACTAATTATTATATAGATAATATTCATATGCTTATTTATTAGTTGTTAGAGAATAATATTCCACAAAAGCATTTGGTTGGCTAGTAGAAAAATTTTATGCTGAAGAAAGACTCTTAATTCGCATGTAAATGCTATTCTTCATCCTCTGTAACCGACCATATATAATAATAGAATTGCATTAATCAACCTTACCAATTTCAAAATGAATAATTGCAATTGAATATCACCTGAAGGTTGGGGCATTAAAATTGCTTGGTGCCCTTCGCCCAATTCATGAAAATTTTAGAATCCCAACAGAGAATGTAAAGAAAGAAAGCATTGATTTGTTGCAAGATGTTGTGAAGAAAATAACGAAACGTTCTAAAATTGTTGTTCCTCAAACTTTAATCTTCATATCTACTATATATAGATGTTGTTTATTGGCTTCCTTCTTTACATTCCAGCATATTAGCATTGTTCCTCACAACAAAAAATATGAGAAATTAGTATTAAACTAAAGTAAACAAGAGGAAAAATAATATTAAATAATGTTCACAAAGATGAAGAATGGTGGGCTGAGGCGTGGATCAATCACTTTCTTTAGGACGTTTCGTGCCACTGATGCAGTAGTTTTATGTTCACACCACCCCCAAGATACAACAGTCCAACATTCTTTGTTATGGCTTTACAAGAACTGCACCCTTGTAAAGCAAGCTCCACACCACCACCTTTCCTTACCCAACAGGGAATAAGAGTGCAGCACAATTTTTTTTGTAACAGCATATAACACAAATGGAAGGCTACCTATTTATAGACTTTCAAATTGTAACTGAAATATAAATATTAATTTAAATGACTAATTAAATCAAAATCATTACACAATGAATATATAAACGGTTGCAATAAACATTTCATTTATTTTCCTTT